AGCAAACTCAGTTAACTGACCGTTTGGACAGATGATCACTCCCTTTTGCTTCCTGTTGGTCACGTAATTCCTCCTCCACTGCACAGTGCCTGCACCATCTTTGTTATTAGTCGCCGCTGTTGGGTAGCGGCATGCTATGACAGCAAATCCCATAATGCTTTGCGAGGAGAGTAAAGCATTATGGGATATATCTGCCTCTTCTGAGGCCTTTTCTTTTCTTCTCTCTTCTCTCTTACACACCCATACAAGATGTAAAAGGTTAATTTAAAGCAAGTGATATGAGGTTAAAAAGAAGTTTGTCGAATGTTATGCATGCCCCCATCAGTGTTGGGCAAGCTACTTAAAAAAGTTATAGAATTCATATTACCAGGTACAGGTGCACAAAAGATATACAATATTACTGTTTGTGTAAAGTAATGAGTCACTGATTACTTTTAATTTCAACAAAATAAACATTTAGGACAAGGCATTACAAATTGAGGGTGCACAGTCATTTTTCATGAAAAGCTATACCACAAAAACATAATAATATAAAATAATAAAACAACAAAAACCTTAACCAGCATGGCACAAGCTCTCTTTCTATTCCTTATTTGAAAACTCTTTAGTAAAGTTGGGCCAAACAAGGTTTAACTAAAAAAGTCAAATTTCCATGGAACTCAGCAGGACAGAGGTTAATATAACTTCAATATTAAGATTAATACTAACATTATCTGGTGTTTAGCCTAGTGGAACAATATTAAATGGATTCTGCATTCAGCTTCTTCTTCTTCTAAGGTTTCAAAAAAAAAAAACATTTTTCTTCTGTTGTTTTAAAACTGTCTTCTCATGATGTATAACAAGTTTTTATTTTTTTTTTATCAGTCTCATATCTTCTTTAATTAAGATGTTGGCCATGGGTTGTTTTTTTTCATAACCAACACCTCAGATTATAAACATTACCCATCTGAGGAACTGTTAATTATCTAAATTTAGTTTGTGATGTATTTTATTAATTTCCCATATACTGTATGGGGACGGTTGCAGCAGCGATCCTTGCGCCTTGCAGCCTGCTCCACAGAGCTACAGCCATGTCTGTGGGGCTTCTCTGTGTTGCCGTAGCAACGACTGTTTTCCCTTTCCAGTGGTGGGAAGAGGGCGTCCCATTCTCCTTCATACCCTCCGCCTTCAATCAAAGCGCCCTCCACAGCTGTTAGTGGGACGCCATTGGGAGTGACACTTGATAGTGAAGGGGTAATGCTTAGGGGGCAGTTTGAATTTTATATTTATCAGCTTTAGTGCTACTTAATCTGATAAAATAAGAGCTTCTTTGGGCCTTTTACTGCCCCTCTAAGAGGTTAGGTGAGCAACAAGGTGTCTTACTCATTAAAATGTAATTTTATTGGTAAAAAAAAATGATGTTTCAATAATATCACAAATACCTACTATGGTTCAATTAGGCTGAATAAATCAGGTAACACAATGCTATGCTATGTTTTAAGATTTTAGAAAGGATTTTTGTAGCAAAATATACTTGATGAAGATCACCCACAGGTACCATTGTGAAACATAGCAAAGCATTGGATGCAAACATAACATTTACCCTCACTGAAACTGTGAAGGTGATTATACTGTGGCTTTCTGACTCCATCTGACTTAAACCACGTTTTAAATCAGGGAGAACAAAAAGGTCAGCGGTCTATTACTGCTGACCTTATTACTCCCTTATTACAACAATAATTGAAAATATTCACAAAACTAAAAAAAAAAAAAAAAACTGGTTTGCATCTAAGATTATTGATCAGTATTTTTATGATAAAACCAAAAATGTATAAGATTTTTAAATGTTTTAATCAGCAAAATAGTATAATTCATGTTAGAGAAACATTTACATATTGAAGAACTGAGCTTATATTTTAAACTTTTCAGAAACCCTTTATGAACCCTGCATGACATGCAGTGAGAAGAGGTGTTTTTGGACAGATCTAAAGGTTCTGCAAAGATGTCTTGAAGTGACCTGGAAAAAAGAAAAAAGATTTATATGGTTTAATCAGAGAGAGCACTATAACTATGGTCTGTCTCTCACGGCTTGTTGCATGACTAATCTAAAGTCCTCAAATTTTGCGAATACAAATAAGTATGAAATACAACCAGCAAAGAAGAGCTGTACATCTGGAAAATATTCAGCACACACACTGCATGTTAATAACTCCAACAGTTACAACCCTCCCTACTCTCTTTTACTAAATCTATCAGTTGTGAACAATAAGATTTCATCCATATTTTTAAGTGAGAATGCATTATAATGCTTTCTCACTAATTGTTTTTCTGTTTTTCTTCATTATTATTATTATACTTTCCGTATATTTTTCTGTCTCTAACTAATGGCACTGATGATCGTACACTCCTTTTGTGTGATTGTGATATCTGACATATTTATTTTATTGTGATGATTGTAGGTATGTGGTTGGCCATAATGCAAATATATCCTGGAAACTAAAGATTTCAGTTTCTAATCGGAAAAGGAAGTTATTTCTTGAAAATCTTGCTCAGCCAGATTTAAGGTTAACACCAAGTAGCCCTTTTGTGCTGACTGCATTGCAATTATTTTTTAATTAGGCTTATCCTAAATAATGCAGCTGAACTGATATTTATGCTCTATATATTTTATATTCCCCATCTTTACAATGAAGCCAGAAAAAAGATTTTTACTGTCTCAATTCTGCAACAGAGCTACACACTGTGTTTTATTGCTCTGGGGTTATTTTACCCTCAAGTCTATTCGCATCTCATGTACAGATTGGTTGGTTGTGCATTAAAAAACATCCTACAGCTCCAGATTTACACCCCCCATGATTGTAGTCCAAAGTGAAATGCATGAGTGGAGGAAATGCATTGCACCCCAGTTGATTCCATTGATATATCATCTCCCAAAACAATTATGGTGTTCCTAGCTTTAAGTTCCTCTAGAAACAAGTTTATATCTGAGCAGATGTTGGTCAAACACTCGTTCACCTTTCAGTTCTTCTCTGGCCATGCAAAGTTCAACACCATAAAGCAATAACAGAAGATGTACAGCAGCTCTGTTCACTTATGGTTGCTGGAAAAAAATCCAATGCCTTTAAATATTTTGTTTTTTACATTTTGTTTTGAAATCCCCAACATTCAGTGCATTTTGAATGTATCAGGATTTGTTTTAGATGACCAAAAAATGTTAAACAGGAAATGTGGCTGTCAAAAAGCTACAAAAATAAAAGTTTCTATGTATTTAGCCTCATTTTTTTTTCTTACCCCCGAGTAAACATTGGAGCGCATTAACACATATTGATGATGTGTTTTTGGATAGGAAGATAAGCAGCAGTCAAGGGACATGCTCAAAAATCCAAAAACACAAATCCACAAAATCTGAGAACCAGGAAATGACGACAAACCAACAGTGATTGAGCAGGAGGTGCATATATGGGAGAGAAACAAAGAACAGGCTAATCAGCAGATTGGGAGCAGGTATGAACACAGAAGAAGGGAGCTAGGGAAAATTAAACTGACACAAGAGGGTACCAGAGGGCAAACAAGAAATGCCAAAGAATTTAAATAGAAACAAAAATAACTAGAATAAGACAAAATGGAAATAAATCACTGGACTCTGGAAGATAAAAAAAACTGCTGTTAATGCTGCTGGCTGCAAGTAAAAAGACAATCACCAGAAAATGGTTAAAACCTGAAGCACCTACAGTTGAGGACTGGTTTAGCATAGTGCAGGACATTTACATGCTGGAGAAGCTAACTTTTTCTGTCCAAGGACGTAGGGAATAATTTTTCAGGATCTGGTCTAAGTGGAGAAACTATGTATAATCAGTAATCCCTGTGATCTAAACTTGTCTTATCACATGCAAATACTGTTGTGCTGTGTATTGTACCCTATTGGCAGGCTTATATCCTGGATTGTGCTTTTCCCCAAATATAAGGAAAACTTAAATCAGACTTAATGTTCCCACTCGCTCGTTTTTCAGTTATAGATGTTTGGTTATCATACAAAAACTCTGGATTGGCTTATGTTGTTCTTTTCCACATTTCCACTGTGGTGGAAGTTTGAATGTACAAAGTAATTGAAACCTGTCTTTCAAAATGAAAATTTCAATTTAAAAAAAAAAATGGAAATAAACCCATGAAAATAGAAAACAAAGAAAAACATGGATCAAAGTGAAACTGAAGACAACAGAAAACTTAAACAGAGCCAAAAGCATAACAAATAGTCTTTAACATTTTGAATAAGGAGAGGGAGAAGAGAAAGGAGCAGAAAAAGTAGATAGATAAAGATTACACAAGTTAATATTAGGGTATTGAATTCACTCTAAGGAGAATGCTTAAAGATTTTTACTTTCCAATTGTCAACATGTAAAGCTGATCAAAAGCTGCTATACTGAGGCCACTGACTGAGGTCTTCCTCTTCTAAATAAAGCACTTCTATGTCTTGTTCTGTTACATGCAAATCGCTTAAAAACATTGATGAATGCAGTTGTTCCTTTCAAAATTGTAATAGCATTTCTTTTTCTCAGAGTCTCTACATAAAGTCTTATATTGAATGTTCCGGACTTTTAGAGGTGGAGATTACCCTTATAGATCATCAAAAGATTTCTTTCTATATTTCTGTTGTACTTTTATTCATTGGGTTGCATTCAGATGTAAATGGTGGAGTATCATCACTGTGGAAAGTTACCTTTACTTTTCCCAGAAAGTGACGCAACAAGATGGAAACCCTCTCTGGTTCCCTCCGGGGGTTTCTTGTACTAATTCCTTCACATCCACTGCGTCTCTGATTCACCACCAGTTGCATCACTCATCGTTTGCTTTCACACAATCAGATCAGCGTGGAACGACGCCTTTAGTTTCCCTGCGTTGTTCCTCTAAAGAACAAGATTAAACCTGCAACATCCCGCCACATTAAAGCCAGGACTTTGCCGGTCAGTTTAGACATCAGATAAAACTGGTTTTATTTTTATTTTGTTCTTTCCTGTCCTCAGATCTTCCCTGACGTGTCCCCACTGCCTGAAACAAAGCAACACCTTTGACCCTTTCCTCTGCATCTCATTACCCATCCCTCTTCGCCAGACAAGGTGAGCTCTGATGTTTGCTGTGAGCTAATATGCTGTTATTTTCAGATTAAAATCAACATGAATTCTGTAAAATGTATGTAAAAACAGGAAGGCCATCTAGGATATTCTTGGAAGATATAACCAGCATGAATGTCTCTTATGGTTCAATAAAAAAAAATAAATAAATTAAAAAGATATTCCTATTTCAAGCGAAGAAAAGCTTGTCTCTTAGCATGGGTGCAAGGAGGAGTAAAGGTGAAGTCCTAGATGAAAGTGCTCATCTTATAAAATTATAACCGGTCTCATTCTCTTCAAGAAAAAAAATGATGTAAACAGGAGATTGGACAACTCCCTGCTATAGTTATACACTTCTTACTGCTGGAACAGAAACTTCTAGCGCTGCTCGGGCTGGTATCAAAAAGGAAAAGCTTGTGGAAAAGCCTCACAATATCAAGGAACAATGTCTCATTCAACCTTACTATACTACACCCACTTATCCTCCGCGGCAGGTTGAGAGCGCTCATTCTGCTCAGGAAATCCTGACATTTTCAAGGAGGAAGACTCCATTCAAAGTCCCCTTTTATATTTACGTGCCTTTTTAAGCATCACACACAAATTTATCATGTAAGAATTAAACACATGCAGCATAAAACATTCTGATACTGTGAGGCTTTGCTACAGTTTCTCCAAAGGTTTTGGCTTCTGAAAAATTTACAACCAGCTATGCTAAGATGATGAGTAAATAAAACACAAAGGCTTTCCAAAAAAAAAAAAAACTTAAAAACAATCCACTGGACTTGGTTTCCAAGTTTGAAGACGTTTCACTTCCCGTCCATGAAGCTTTTTCAATTCAAACCATTGTTTGCTGTTTGTTTGTTCCCTGTTAGATGTCTTTAGTTTCTGTTTTCATAAGTTCTAGTTAGTTCATGGTAGATGTCCCTGTTCCAGGCAGGAGATTAATCTCGAGCCAGTGTTTTCAGGCGAGTTTATTCCAAAACCAATTTTGAGAGCGTTTCACCGTTTCCATAGTGATTCTGATCTCCTGATTCCATTCCCTCTCATCCACTGGCCCGGTCTGTATCCGTCTGATCTGTTCACCTGAACCTCTTTTGGACTCCTGCTGGATTCTGCCTCTGTTTCTGTGCGTTTCTGTGCATTTCTCTCTGAGCTGGTCTCTGAACCTGCCTTCACACTCTGAGGATTCCCGGAGGCCTGGATCCCTTTGTTTCCTGTTTGGGTTGGAACCTCTGATCGAACGGAGAACTCCTGGATCCCTGAACTGTTCCGGCCTGATCTGTTCTCCCCTGTTCCGGATCGGCTTCTTGCAAATTCTCCGCAGCTGCAGCATCAGGGAAACTCTGGACGGCTCAGGGCCGCATCTCGTTGGCAGTGCATCAGCTGATCCTGCCTATTAATAAGAGGATGGACTGAACCGTTAAACCAGGTAAGTGACTCACTCTGATAATCATCTCATGTCAGATGATCGTGGTCACTTACCTGTGTTTCTCCCTCCAGAGTGTCAGTGATTGGGTGGTGCCCCGCCCTCCTCCTGCAGTCGCTGCAGGTCCTCAAATCCTCAGCAGCCGTTTCAGTTCTGTTTGTTTTAATAAACTTTTTACACTTTCCTACTGACTGTCTCATCTTGGACACTGGGTCCGTCTGTCCCCGTTTTATGACACCTGCTCTTTCAATTAGCCCTACCCAAGGGAAATTTCTGCAACACCATCCTCAAAATGGCAGAAGCATTTTGCGTTCTTCAACATCTATAAAAAGGCTGTTGATGGGAAGATGTATCTAGATAAAGCTAATTAGTTAAACATTCCTATTCACTTAACGTTTTCCTCACGTTTGACAGAGCTTGACCTATTTCTTAAATAAGGATGGGCAAATATTTTAGTCTTATTTGCAGTACTGGTAATTTGTCTGTTTGCAGTTGTGGATGTAAAGCTACAGTTTTCAATTACTTAAAGCATCCATATATCTTCTACAGCATAACTATGTTAGGAATTCTTGTTGAAGTATCCATTTCTTTAACATTTTAAAGAAAACACTCCAGTTCCCTTCCATATAAACATTAAAGGATTTTCTTTATTTAAAAAATGTGAAAATTTTAAAATTAAAGCTAATATCCTGCATTAAACACTTAAAAAATTAAAAGTATTTTTGTTTAGTCATTGTGCAAATTTTTTTTAGCTGGATCTTAGAAAAAATGTCTCTAAAAACTGCAAACCTTGGCCTTTAAATGACTGGAATGTTTTAATATATACCTGATGAAGTTCTGTTTTTTTTTTTACCTTAATACTCCCAATATTTTCTTCCACTAAACAGAATACCATTTGTGAAGCTGGGCTGTTGAAGCGTACAGAAGCACCTGTTCGTGCAGCTGTTGTAAATAGGAATGAGCTGGTTGAGCACCCCTACCCAGCTTTTATCAACATGTTTAAGAGGCAGAAGTAAAAAAAAAAAAGGAATGTTTTCAACAGTGAAGCTCCTTCCTTATCATTAGAAAAGCATTGCTAAATAGTCTAAACATATGCATTTCCCAAATTATAACTAATTTCTTTACTCCTCAGGATGATCTGCATTTAAACTGTTCCTATTCGATATGATTTGCAATAACTTTAAGGGTTCTTTCTCTTTTTGATTGGCCATAAGTTGTCCCTGTTGATTTAAACTATTTTAAGAACTTCTACCTGACAGAGAGCCATATTGATACTATTTTTTCTGACAGTAAGGATGACAACAAGGGTTTAAACAGATTGTCTTTTTGAAGCGTATCGAAGCTATCTGCTGAGTGAACGTTTCAGCTCACTTACACTGAGAGCAGCTCTGTAAGCCAAAAAACACACATTTTGTTTTCAAACCGAGAGTTAGCGTGGTAAGGAGTTCAGACTGCTGGCTCCGTCCTCTGGGAGCTCCCTGCTTTCTTTGTTCAGATCTTTTGGCTTTCATTGCACTTTGCTAAGTAGAAAAGTTAGCTCATCCAAGAGAACATTTTATTGACAAAACCTGTCAATAAAGGTGCTGCTCTGGAGCAGATGGTTCAAATAACTCACATTTTAGTCATTTTTATTATTAAATTCAATATGGAACAAAGTCATGATCATAGTAAATATAAAGCAAAGGCTTAAAGGGATAGTTAAGAAATTTAAAAGTGGGGTCAGCATCAAATAGGCTGCAAGTATAAACAAGATAATTGGGCCTGGAGGCTAAAGATAATGGCTAGTTGAAGAGGAGCAAAGGTCATAATAAACTTTCTCTATCTTAAAGAGATGAATTGATTTTTCTATAAAAATCCTTGAGGCAGGTTAAAGTTTGCTGATTATCCTGACTAAAAATGCTTCACATGTTCCGTTATTAGAATGTGTTTCATAGAAATATGTTATGATTGTCCTTCTTTAAAGTCGTATGGAAGCCATATTTAAATGTCAAACCATTCTGGCTTAAACATGTATGTAAATGCTCTCTTTATTACACGATATTGTCCCATGAGGTAGAAAAGTGATATTTTTTTTAAAATCCTGTCTTAAAATCTTTGTTATTTTTTCCTGTTATCTTATGCAGGCCACTTAATTATACGTCAGCTTGTACACCTAAATTCGGTCAATCATATATCAGCAGTCATCTGTAAATCAAATTTTTTCAGTCAGCATCTTGATTCATATGTCGCAGCTAATATACCCAATGGTTGAAATAACAAATAAGAATAATTTCTTTTCCCATTGAGTTCCGTCCCAGTGTCCATGGGGATGGACGTCTGTGTCTTCAGCAGGCGTAGAGCTAACAGAACTGGCAGCGTTGCGAGGCAAGGACTCAAACATGTACGGCTGTAAACCTTCTACACCAAACCAAGCTTCTGCCGCCCTGGCGTCCTCTTCCACTACATCTTCGTCCCCACTTTCCACCTCTAAATAAAAAATGTATGACAGAGGAGACTCATCCATGACCTCCAACACTAATCTCTCCTCCTCTTGCATGTTTCCGCTGTCCATAGCGTTCCTTGACAGTGTTGTTTCTAAGTCACCAATTTAGTGCTACTTGGTCTTAATGGAATTTCCCATTGGGAACCTACTAGCACTAAGTTGCTAACTGGTTAGCAAGATGCTTCCGACAAACCGACTACAACCAAACTTGCTTGTGAACCTTCCGCCACAACAATCCCGCCCTCTTGATAATCGACCAATCACATTCACTATATTCACTGGTGTTAAGTCGGGCACCGCCTGGTAGAATTCGAAAATGCAACGGTTGGAACAGCCATTTCCCTACGACTTGAACGTCACATATCCTCAATCACAACTTTTCTGAACAAAACTCTCATGCAGTGGATGAAAGCAGGAGTTAGAACAAAAATTTTAAGAGCTGGTTCCCTGTGTCTTTTAGATACAATAGATCTCTTTTGCAAAACATATAAAAAGACTATATACTTTTGTTTGTATGACACCATACAGGAGCAGAAGAGGGGTTGTAAAGACTGATTCAAGTGTTTTTTAGTTTTAAGGCTGAATACCTTTTAAAGAATAGATGAAGGTAAAATTGTCTGAAAAACTGAGGATATTTCCATAAATTCCTGGGCATTTTAACCTGTTAAGCTCTAAGGTTTTAAGAAGTCCATCCATCCATCCTTTATCTGACAGACTTGTCCCAATTGGGGTCGCGAGGGGTGCTGGTGCCTATCTCCAACAGTCAATGTGCGAGAGGCGGGGTACACCCTGGACAGGTCGTCAGTCCATCGCAGGTTTTAAGAAGTCATTTCTGCCTATAATTACACAACTAAAATGATTTAGGAATGGTTCCATCTTTATCGAGTCTGATTGGAAACCTTTTTTTTCACCTTTTTAAGACAAAAAAAATTTAGTAGAACCACTATTTCAGCTGTTAATTATATTATTTCTGATTTATTTGTGAAAAATCTTTTTTAAGGCTCTCCATTAAATATTTGGTAATAAACATTGAAAACCACCATGAATATCTTTTTAAAACCCGGTAGACGCATTAGATTAAATATAAATCCTGTGTCT